TTACACTAATCAACGGCGACAGCCTGTGAAGAGACGAGCGTGTAAGCCAAACGCCGTGTACCAGGTGAGGCCAGTTTTGTTTGCTCGCTGCCCAGAACCGAGACAAAGGATTACCTTCGAGCACTCTCACGACATGCAGAATAAGCTGGGCATCCTAAAAGAACATGACGCTCATCTTCCACCGTGCTTATTCAGCGTGCAAAACTCACATATCCTCTGCTCGCGGGGCTTTCCATCTAGGAGGCACAATCGCCGCTAGGGGCCAACTACGCGTCCGAAACCTCACCACAAAACAATGCACATCTGGTGAGATGAGGTCTATATGCCGGGTATGCGGAAGCCACCGCGGTAGCCCCAACCGACTTTTCGAAACGGCAGACCCCTCCAATTATGTACCTATTTCGCTGTCATAACCTTCCCCCGTTGTTCCCCATCCGATGGGTCCGGGCTCCGCCTCGTGTGTGCCCCAGGCAGCCATAAGCTGCCGCCTAAACTTGGAAAAAGCCACACCCTCATGGAATCGACCTTTGATTGCCAATCGACCTTAGCATCGTCGGACACTAACTGGGCTGGCATGCCGCCCCAATACTGTTCAGACGCTTTTTGAGGTTGGTTCCACGTGCATTGCTTCCTCTCATGCACCGTTCACTCCGGCAGGATGCCCACGCGTAACACTGACATATCGACAATTGTGTGTGTGTGTGTATTTGTGTGTATTTGTGTGTATTTGTGTGTATTTGTGTGTATTTGTGTGTATTTGTGTTGTGTGTATTTGTGTGTATTTGTGTGTATTTGTGTGTATTTGTGTGTATTTGTGTGTATTTGTGTGTATTTGTGTGTATTTGTGTGTATTTGTGTGTATTTGTGTGTATTTGTGTGTATTTGTGTGTATTTGTATGTATTTGTGTGTATTTGTGTGCATTTGTGTGTATTTGTGTGTATTTGTGTGCATTTGTACATACCTGGAGCCCTGATGAGGGGCCTAAGAGCCTGTCCGCATTATATCACGATATATATACATAGTTTTTCTATATATATATAGTTTTTCTATATATATATATAGTTTTTATATATATATAGTTTTTCTTTTTCTTTTTGAGAGATTGAACGT